CTCTTAGTCTGACCCGTCACCCAGGACCTGTTTGCCTTGGGAGACCCTACCAGGGACATATAGCCCCCGACAACATAGCTCCTAGGATCACTCGGGTACTCAAACCCCTCCACCACAATAAGGTGGCGGTTCAAGGAGGGAACAATTTCTCTATATGAAACTAATTCACCTACTGATTATGAGACATTTTTTAGCATTTTCATACATAATTCATGTGAAAATCAGTAAAAGTTGCAATAATAATTGCATGCAAAATTAGGCATTGCTATTTCTGCCTTCTTAACAGTAAAGATGTTCAGCTTTTTTCATGATTTTAAAGCGCTACCTGTTCTTCCCTCCTAATCAGTTGTTGTTGTCCCTTACTGTATCAGCACAGTCTCACACAAATGGTTTCTCCAGAACTTTGAGTAAGTAAATGGGACCCAATATTATCAGTGTGTGGATAGGGATTTTAAAAAGACTCATATTTACTCAAAAACAAAAACTCCTGCATTGAGGTAATGTCTAAATTAAGAAAATGGAAATTTCACTTCAGAATTTAAATTCAATTTAGGCCTGTAATCTTGGCTCGTTGCCCATGTGGCATTTCAACAAATCAAGATATGGCTTATTTAAATTTTTTATTAAATGATCTGCTGCTTCATTCTTACTTGGACTAGGACTGCGTACACTGAATATTCTACAATCATACCTTTAATAACATAATGTGTTTTTAATACTTGTAAATTAGAACAGGCTGATATCCCCCCCAACAAGGACTGAAATATTTTGTAAAGTTTAATTGCACAACTATTATACAAACATTTCATTTGTTGGAAAAAAAGCATAAATAAATATGCCATGACAATATAAAACATATCTGCTTGATTATGAGGCATTTATATGTTGCATGCTTAAAGTGATGACATAAACTATTAAATAATGTGGCTTTATATTAGTATAATTACTTAAAGAATACTTAAAAGTGTAAACATTTGCTTGATTTTGCTTCAATGTTTCTTAGTAAAAACTCATTTTTAATAGTAAATATCTGCTACAGCCAAAGGTTTTTACACTGTGATAAGATGCTAGAGATGAAGATGTTTAATTACATTCATTATTAGGTAAAAAAACATTTCTCAGTTTCAAATGCAATTGACTCATTAGGGCAAATGGGTGTGAGGTAAAAGATTGTTAGGCTATTACAGATTTAGCTAAACTGAGTCAAATCAACAATCATAGATGGTAAGTCATATATTAAGGTAACAGAAACAAAACAAACATCTCTAATTATTAGTAGTGATAAAATACAGCAGTTCCTGTTTCGCTTGTGCAGAATAAATGTTGAAAACCTCCTTATACTGTTCTATGGTTGTTAAAATCCACTGGAAAATGCATCTAGTTGCTTCTCTTCAGAGTGCGAGCCATGCAGGAAAACTATTCAGTGCTTGTTGAAATGAAGGAGTGAATGCATGTTATGGTGCCTCCAATTTAGCAATCTGTCCTCTCTTACCTGAGAGATTTTAATTTTATTCATCAGCTCAAGGGAGCTTCGTCCCATAGAAGGCAGCCATGCGTACGTTTGCAGCTTATGTCATTACAGGATGTTGCATAAAGCACAAGGTTTCAAATGAGTCTTTCCTCCTTTGGTAATTTTAGTGCATCTGGTGCTGCCACGCTGGATGTGCCAGTCTGTTCCTCAGCACTGGGTCTATATGTCCCTTCAGTCTGTCTCTTCTTTTTCACAACACAGAAAAGCCAGCCAAGAACAGCCAAGATGATGACCAGGACACCGAGGGTGACTGTGGGGGCCACAATAGCAGCAATGTTAGTTGCCTGCAAATGGAAAAACACAGGACAGTTATTAATCTGGTGTCAGTGAACACTTTCTGATGTTATTTACTGGACATAATAAAGGTTTTTCACTCACATCAGTTGTATTATTAGTGTTTGTTTGAGCGGTAGAATTCCCTGTGAAAAAAGCAGAAACGTTGGGAACACATTAATAACAATGCAGACTCTTTCTCACTGTTTACTTGTGTATACTACATACAAACGAGTATAGTGCCCCTCACTGCTGGTAACCTAATGGGGTTTTGCTTTAACTGAAATCCAACTAATGAAACTAATAATTCAGGTTACCTCAAATGATTGTTTTGAATGATGAGCACAGATAAACGTGGGTTTTTGAGTAATCCAGTTACCACATGCAAGTACATGTATCCAACGTCTGCCATAATCTGGTTTCTCTCAGTAATCTGGTTGAATTAAAAAAAACAGTTCAACATTTTTGGGAAATAATTTGGTTATTTGGACCAGTTTCAAGGCAACAAGTGGAGACTCCAGGAAGTTATTGGTCCTGGTTGAGCACATAACCCTAACATATCAATGGAAGGTTTTACAGTTTAGTATGGATTAAACACTGAGATATAATTAGTTAATTACCAAGCCTTAGAGGTGTTGGCAGGTGGATTTCATAAACTTTGGATAAAGCCAAGCTAGCTATTTCCACATGTTTCCGGTCTTACAGCCAAGCTAATTCAACTGGCTACTGGTTCCAGCTACATAATTCAATGGCAGTGATATTAATCTTGTCATCTAACTCTCAGCAAGAAAGCAAATAAACATATTTCATATTTAACTATTCCTTTACATACATGGAGAGGTATTTGCTGGAAAAGATGAATGCAGGTATAGGCTACAACGAGGGCTCTTTAAAACCTAGAAAAATGTGTTTATGTGATATATGTGATATATGTGACTGTCTATGGCCAAATGATCAATGACCATAAGACAAAAAAGAACAAAAAGTCCTGATATGATTTTTCAGATAACCAAATAAGTGAGTAGCAGAAGACAGTGCTGTGGTAACATTAAACACAAAGCAGAAAAAAGAGGAACAAACAAAACAACAGAAGGTACTCTAGCCTTATGTACAGTACCCGTTGAAGGCAACAAACACAATACACAGTACATTTTTATCAGTCATTTTATCCATGACCAGCCATGTGATTACTCAGTAACATCATGAAATGACATAGTAACTACTTGAGCAGTAGAGCGAGTACGGAGGAGAAGTTCAGGAATGCGGTGTACTGCAGATATACAGTCAGATGAGTCAAGCATCATGCTGGTGTGAAATATATAAAAAATTCAAATCTGTTGTTGTCTTGTTTGTTTGTGCTAAGCTTTCAAGACTTATGATCGATTTAAAGACAAAGTATTGTTTTGGAAACATAAACCGAGCCCGCAGTGTTTTCTGAGTCAATCATTCACTAGGGCAAACAGTAAACTTTTCAAGGACACAAGTACAACTTGATAACAAAAATGGTTACAGGAGAGAACAGACACACTCAAAAGAAAAAGTTGAATATGCTGTGAAAGTTCTTGAATTCTTTTGTATAATGCATTTACTGATAATGAACTAAGATTGGATAGAAATGTAACTCTCTCTTATAATGCTATATTCTTAGTGCAGTGTTCTTACACATGGTGACAAGCCTATGCATGTTTCAGATTTGATCTGGAATGTCTTTTTATATCATACCAGGATTTAATGGTGTGTGTGTGTGTGTGTGTGTGTCTGTGTGTAGGTGTGGTCAAAAGGATGGGTTATTTGTGTGGAAGTGTTGGTAAAGGGACGGTTACTGACTCACCCCACACTGGATTACCGCTCAGTACCAGCAGTAAAAAACTTCCAACCACAACTCCAGGAATGGCCAGCACATCCAGACATACTGCCATCTCTACCTGTGACCAGTGGGGCCAAGTGAGGGCAAAACGGGACTTGGACTGGGCATCAGCTTGGGTCCATTTCATTAGGTCCAACATTCACTGAACAATTGAAGACATTATTTTCAGTACTGTAAAGACATGGCCCACTATAAGTCATCCACTTTTTTCACTTCAACGATTCGTCAAGAAGGTAGCTGAGTCACATTCAGCCTGGTGTTGAATCACCATTAAAACTCCCAAGATCACAGCAAAATATGCTATTAATAGCACATGTATAGGCTCTTAAAAACTAAACACAATTCAACTGTTACAAGATCAACTCCTTCTTGTTTGCAACAATATTATATTTACACCTACTAATAATGAAAAAGATAATATGTGGCGACGTTAATAATATTCAAAGGCCTACCATTGATTTGGCTGTTTCATCGAGCAGGTTGGTTCCTCACGAATGAACCACAGACGATTGCTTCCGCTTCACCTTGTCATAAATGAAGCAGCAACAAATGGTTTAGTCTAATGAAAATTAAAGGTAACATCCTAAGACCAAATAATATGTTCCATGCGACGGAAAAACTACACTATATTCTTTAAGTATGAACTACATCATCGACTGCACTTGCTACCACTTAGTGTTTTATGTAAAGCAGTATTTCGCCTTGTCTTCAAACCGTCATCGGTCACATGGTTCAGTTTCGTGTTACATTACCTGAGCGCACTTTATCTACCTGCAGCAGAGCGGACAGACCTTCCTTTGTATAAAGTCAAAGAAAAAACGCAGTTACTGAAGCCGAACAGACCCGATTTCTCCTGTTGCCATAAAAAAAACCTCGTCCAAATAGACTGTACATTATGTCAAAAACACTTTAATGACATCGATGTCACATTAGGCCTATTTGTCTGCTGATAACTGATATAAACTGAACTTTTTTTTTAAATAATCTATTACACTACTAGGTTGATCTCGCATGCTCCAACCTGCTGGAGTACAATGTTTGCCTGTCTTCACTTTAGCTCTTACCTAGCAACCTGGCTGAAATAGCGCCTCCATCAGGTTTCATATTTTCCGAACATGAGAAAAAATATCAGCATTCCTGAGATATTTTAAGGTTGAATTCTGCAGCCAGCTGGTCCACTGGGCTCTAATCCTCACCCAATATCCCCTTCTCAGACTCAGAGGGCCAGAGAAAATGAAGGCTGATTCAGGCCTAACCAGCAGTCTAATGGTCAGATAGTGTCCTTTTCTGTGTGTGAGAGCTATGAATGTTTTAATGGTGAGAGCACTGAGTTGGTTCGGAAAAAAAGAGTACTGCTATGTAAAATAAAAACCTTTACTCTAGTAGCACTATTCACATTCGTGAGAATATTATTTCACGGCAGGACTGGGTAACCACAGTCTTGTATTTAACTGTATCTATCCTCAAATCACTCTACATGGGGCATGTATGCATTTTTGTTCAGTAGAGAACTACTTCTGTGATAATTGAAGAGGTTGTGTTGAAGCACTGGAATATTGTATTGGAGTGCTTAAGGCTATACCCTGAGATGTCCCTATTGTTCATCCTCCTGTTGTTGGGCACCGTAAATTTTATTTTATTGTAGGCTATCTTTCAGCCCATGGTAGGCTAATTATGACGGGCTCTTCATTATCAAAACAGCAACAAAATACTTGCAACATATTGAATGAATTGAGAGTTGGTAAAAGGGTTATGCCACGTTACAATATTACTTCCAACTTGATTTAGTACTTTGGGCATGTGTTAAAAGTTAATGTAAGCAATGTGCTGTTAGGCCGCTGCTAGCACGCCACTAGGGGGCAGTAGAGCCATTTTGCCTTTCTTGTGATGGACCTCTACGTCGACGCATCTATGTACCGCTTGCCGTAGATGCGGGGAACTTTGGGTAGGACAGTCAAAGCGGCGGGAGAGTGACGCTTTTATTATCAAATGTTAGGAAAGCTGCTTATTCGGAACATTACTTAAACACTTAGTGTGCATTAGTCGTTTAAAAAAAAAAAGACTTCAGTTGGTAAAATCACAAGTTCTTGGCAGATAACATTGTGGACACTGCCTGTGCTGCTGTGTTGTGATTGTGTTGCTTTTAAATCAATCCCCAAGAAACTGGTTTAAACGTTTATTTTGGTTAGCCTAATTTTAGCACTCCGGCAACAATGGCGAAGGTACAGGTGTTGAATGTGGCTGTTCTGGATAACCCGAGTCCATTTGGAAACCCTTTTCAGTTTGAAATAACGTTTGAATGTATGGAGGACCTCCCCGAAGGTAGGCAGAGTTACAGAAACGCTGTTATTATTGTGTGTTTGATGGGAAAGCGCGAGTCTGTTGCTAGTTCAGTCTGTGTAAAATTGCTAACGGCTAACTTAACAGTAGCTGCCTATATTTTAAGAGCTAACCTAACGTTAGTTACGAAGCAATAGTAAAGTACGGATGCACGGATTGACTGAATATGTTCTCCGCGGTGGGCACATCTCTAAATGAACTCTGATCGTTCAGTACAACTTAGAAATATTCTTATGGAGTCTAATAAAATTCACATTAACGTTAATAAAGTAACGTTAACGCTAATGTGCACTTTGACGTTAACGTTACTCATGCAGGCCTCTAACGTTAATGTTTAGCGTTTGTAAAAGTATTGCGCGCATCTATAAAAAATGTTGTTAATGATCGTGTGTGGTTTGTGAATATTAACTTGTAGCACAATATCTACTTTAATCTGCCACTTTTTAGAGCACTTGGAGACAACGAAATCACGGTGACGAAATTCTGAGAATTACGTTAATATACAAATGTAAAAGTTTTTTGCTGTATTAACAACTTTGCTGTTTGCTTTATTGTTCATAATATATTAACTGGGACATTTAGTTTAGCCTCTGTGCATTTCATGTGACTGTGTCTGGACGCATTTATTTGTATCCCAGCTGTGTGTTATGATGAATATTTGCATAATGATAATGTCATGATGAATAATGATAATTTAATTATTAGTAGGTATGGAATTGAAACTGGTTATGTTGTTTTTAGTGAAATATAACTTCAGTTTATGCATTTTTGTTGTATAGACCTTGAATGGAAGATCATCTATGTTGGCTCAGCAGAAAGTGAAGAGTATGACCAAATCCTCGACTCTGTTCTGGTCGGGCCAGTACCTGCTGGGAGACACATGTTTGTGTTTCAGGTGTGTCTTGTTGCAGAAACTAAATGACAGTGCTTTCTGTTGCTTCAGCCATATGTATATAAGGGATGAGTAATTTCTTATTTTTCTTTCTTCTGTTACACCTTTCAACGTTGGCATTTTTATCCTCTTGCCTTTAAAGTTTTGGACATTTTTTATTCTCTCCTGTACAGTTTTAGAGAAACTCAATTGTTTCTCTCAATAATTAGGATGGTGAGCATGTATTTGTATTTTTAAGCCATGCTTCATATAGACCGTACTATTGACAATATATGATTAATTCAAACACAGTGGTACTTGAACAGTATGTCTGTGCAGATTCTCAGTCATCCAGGTCATAGTAAGCTGAAAAAACATCAACTCTGTTGAAGCCTCGGATGAGAGGTGAAACGTCTTTGATCTAGAAATCTAGTCCAGTTAATTTTTTTTCTGTTTTTTTCCAGCTTACTTGAACAGTAGAGTTAAAATTCATAAAATTAACATATGCTTTATATTTTTGCACATGTCTGTACTGTGTTTCTTTCAACAGGCTGATGCCCCAGTCACAGGATTGATTCCTGAAAGTGATGCTGTTGGTGTAACTGTAGTGCTGATTACCTGCACATATCGTGGTCAGGAGTTCATTCGCATAGGTTACTATGTGAACAATGAATACACAGACCCAGAACTTCGTGAAAATCCTCCAATCAAACCAGACTACACACAGGTCAGACTAATGACTGGTTTCTGGATAATTGCGATTCCAAAGTGACTACTTATTGCTCACTTCATTAGTGTGAAGTAATACTTTGCATGAATACACTTTTACAAGGTTGAATGAACAAGTGTTATATAGAAATAAAATTTCAACCCAAAAAGGTTCTTCACAAATAAACCAGACAAACATTAATCAATAGGCAAATGTGTACTTATTGAAAGACCTAATACACTACACAGCAACAACAAAAACTCTTGTTTTGATTCCTCAAAAATTCCTAATAATCCTTTAAATTTCCTTTGGTTATGCAACTGGTTTAGTAGAGTACAGTTCTATAAGCAGTGTTGCTCATTCAGATGGCAACTGTAGTAATAAGCCACTGTGAGTTTTGTTACAGTGACAAATGGTTTTTATTCTAGGTCTCACATTTTTAAGGGGACATTTGGAATGAAACCTTTCACTCAGGTGCAAAAGAAAATATTGGAATAATTAATTGCAGCAATTACAGTTTAGTTTAAATTAGCAAAAAACAGTTGCAGCTAACAGAAAAATAATCAGTTGTCTGGGGAATTTGTTCTCTCACATGCTGATACACATTCTTTCCTGTAATTAGCTGGTACTGCTGCAGGAAACCAAGTTTATAAATGACTGGCTTGTCTAAAATCTCATCAGATACACTTGGAAACACATTAACATGTAAAAATCATGGAAATGTCATATCTATTAGATAATATATAAATACCTACTGAAGAGATGTACCTAATCATATCATGGTGCAACATAATTTTATAAAAGAAGGTTGGATAGGGGTATTTCTTTTTGGGTGTACAAAAATATCTTGCTATGTTTTCCTTTTCAGCTCCAGAGAAATATTCTGGCATCAAACCCACGTGTTACCAGATTCCATATAAACTGGGAAGGCTGCACAGAGCGAATGGAAGACACTGAAAACGTGGATCCCACATCGAACTCCATGCTCCCTCCATCCTGTCATCCAGGCAAAGCCCCACCCTTGGGGATACTACCAGATAACTCCATGGACTGCTTATAGAATTCACCCAAAAGACAAAATGAAAGGTGATGACTTGCAGCACAAGACTGTTTCTCTTTGAAGATTGCCTGTGGACATTCTAGTGTGGATGTACAGACATCTTATGGCTGCCCTTATTTCCCTGAAGCTTGTTGTCAAAAATGAACTCTCACCTTGAGCTTCAGATGAATGTTTGTTCCAAGGAAGATTATGAACATATCATTGGATTTATCATCACTAATAGCTGGGGAGTTCCTTTACCATTATACTGAACACAATATTGAAGTAGTTTAGCTCATGGAAGGGAAAATGGTAACTGCGAAACAATGCAGCTGAACTGAAACAGCAGAAAGCTGTGGTGTTATTCACCTTCTTTTTGTTGGTGCACAACTGATTATTTGTACCTGTCCAAAAGGATTTCAGCACTGAAGCAATAGGCAAATAAATTGCAATATGTTGCTGTACAGGAATTTGATAATCTGACATTATATTTGTGTTCAAATTCCTTTTGCACTTAAAACCTGTTCCCACTTGGATTATGGAGTTTTGGATTGGCTTTGTATGAGCTTTATCACTTTCTCCATGTTTATTTTTTTCTGTTTGCAATTTTGTGTTACAAATAAAAGGACATTGTATTTGTTATCTGTGTGATAGCAGAACTCAGTTCCTCCTAATTAATAGCCATATTTTGATTTCACAATTTCTTGTTTTGTTACAGAAGCAGGAAAACAACACTTTTCAATACATTTGCCCTGGAAACAGTTTAGTGCTTGTTAAGTATTTATCACACAAGTACTTTATTATATTTTTGTGTTTTTTGTCATAAGGTTAAATACAACATACTGCTAATTCTGTAGCACATATCAGTGTGAGTATTCCCTTAGATTTTCATATTTCACTAAAAATAGAATGTGTTAACGTCACACCCAACCACAGATTGGCAGGGTAAAGGGGGTGGTTACTCACCAGAAAAGGGTTTGAAAAGTATTGCACTGCCAATATTAGAATAAATTCAAGATGTCTGCATTTAATTTCCTTTCTGCACAAAGCATATTCTGATAAATCTAAGCATCTGATAATTTAAAAGCAAAATGAATTACACTTTTGGGTGTCCTGACTACTAGCAACTCGTAGAGGCAGGACAAAGCCATTTGACAGACGAATCGCATCGATGCTTATCCAATCAGTGCTTGAGTTACGACTTTTGTCACGTAAGTATTTGTGTTGTAGCCAATCAGAGTTGCCCAGAGGCGGGACCCGGTGGATTGATGACTGGAGTTTCCCTTGCGGTCTAAAGATTAATGGAAGGGGTCTGTTGATCTTAGGATTCGAGTATCAGATGGTTTGTCCCAGGAAACCATTGCACTTGACGAATGAATTAGAAACGGAAGAAGAAATATTCACTTGAAATAGCCAAAGGCAGAAAAAAAACGAGTAACCTGGACACCACTTTTGATATTCAGGTCTCAACTGAAAAGGCCTGCCTACTCAAAGATAGCACCTGGTTACTTCAGGCCAGGATACGACTCCGAGGGACGCTAAAAGCTAACGCTAGCCTTCTCGTTAGCCAGACGGAAAACAGATTTCGACGATCTGTCTGATGCTCCAGACTGGAATTTGGATAAACCAATCTGCGTGTGGAAATAAAGGACAGTCGTGTAGCTTGATCCGCCGGTGCTTACTTGAAAATTGAGGTGCTATCGTTACCAGACAAAACATCCAGTGGCGATTTCTGCTAGAGTTAGCTACTGTGCTAGCCTAGCCAACCGAAAGTGTTCGGGGTTGTTGCGGATTTCAATATTCTCGATTGGCGGAACTTTTCCGAACTCTACGGAAAAGTATTGAAGGAAATATATTTACATGCATTAGTCAATAATGGTAGCTGTTAGCTAGTAGCTAGCTGTCAGCTTCATTGAACCCCGCGGCTGTGTTAGCGGTATATCACTGAAAGACTTGGAAAAGAAAACACCCAGGGACACCACTGTCAGCCTGCCATCATGGGCAACACGCCCACTGCAAAGAAGGGCAATGAAATGGAAAGTGGTGAGTACTCTTTACCTTTACACGTAGCTGCAGCAGTTAGCTACACCATGCAGCTTGTCGTTTTGCTGTAGTCATTTCCTGTTTGCCATAATGGCAGCAAAATAAAAAGCACAACTTAGTATATGCACAAGTTAATGCATCAGACCCTCCACAACGACGCCAAATTGCACTACCTTCAACATCATATCTTATTATAATATAACGCTAAACTTGACAGGGTTGTCAGCTTTACCTGAAAACCGTAGTCACTCACATCCATGGAATGAAGAAGAAGAAGAAGCTTTATTCTATTGTCATTGTAACACGTACGGGCCGCCATCACGGGCAACTTGGGGAGTTCATTGTCTTGCCCAAGGACACTTCGACATGTGGACTGCAGCCTCCGAGATTCGAACCTTCATCCTTCTGGTTGGGAGACGACTGTTCTACCCACCGAACGACTGTCGCCCAACATAAGTTGTTGTAACGTTACTGCCTTCAGCTCAGCTGGGAAAGCTTGTGTTTAAAAGCTCCAGGTTATATTCAGAGGTATAAATAAGGATGAGAACAGTCAGAAGTTTGTTTGTGGTTCATGTGTTTTGGATGTTTTTCCTCCCAAGGCTGCATTAACGTTACAAACTTAAACCCTGGTGTGGAGCAGTTTTCTTGTGTGCGTTTTAGTAACCCACTTATTTATTATGCGTGTATAAATAAAGGACTATGTTTTAAAAATGGATTGGAAAGTAAGAGTAAGAGAATGCTTATGTGATTAGTTTGGTCTTTGTGCAACATGGACATGAACATTGAGTGTCAAAGACTGTGTGACAGTTAGTGAGGGTTATCATAGAGGGAAACCGCCCCGAAGATGGGATCAGATAACGTAGGGAGGGTGATCCTCTCCAGGCAGAAGCTTGGAGTTGAGTCTCTTGGAAATCATGTGATGAGCAGCATTTGGAACAAGGACACTTGTATGTGTGCATGACAGATAGGAAGAGATTCTCTGCCCTCCCACAGCTTTATATTTTGTTCATGACTTTCTGAAATTTCAGACTGAATTCAGTTTTTATTACTGTCATATCTATAAAGTAAATAAGGGGACATTTTTATAAGCTGACAAAATAAATGACAATTCTCTACAACATGTTTTAACTCGAGGAAAAAGTTTCACGCTATTTCTTAATAATAAATGCTTATTCGCTCAATCTAACCATTTGGATTTCCTTCTTACAGTCAGTGCTACTGGCCTTAGAGAAGACCTGGGCTGGCACTGTTTTATGTTTTTATCCAGGACACCATAAATAACACTCAAGTGTGTAAAGTCTGAACAGGTATCTGCAAAATAAGTGTCAGCTCCTTGGTGCTGGTAATGAGTAGGTGTGAAGAGTGACCTCCAGTCCCTATGTAATTTTAACCCATCACAGGCAACCCCTGTAACAAGACACGTGACTGTCAGGGGTTATAGTGCAAACAGTTGTTTTTTAATGCTATAGAAGTAATGGAAACTGGAGGAATTGATAGGATAGAAGGAGGGACATAGGTGGCACTGCTAGTGGGAGGTTTGTTCACATGCCATGCTTCGTATCTTTATCAGCATGATTGCTGTGGGCACGCCCTGATCCCCAGAGACAGGTGCAGACCAGGGGTCCAGAGCCCTCACCCAGAAGCATAATTTTTCACAGAGCAAATAGAGCTTAAGGACAACATGGCGGCTAGTTGAGATGCACAGGGTCTGTTTCTGTGAACCTTCCAGGCTGGAGAGGATGAGCAGAGAGCCCTTGTACAAGTATGCAAAGCTAATTTCTGGCCCACAGGAAAAAGCAGGGTGGACAGTCACTGAACTGCAACAGGAAGTGAAGGAGCAAGGAAGGTCCAGCCCAGGCTCTGCAGTTGGTCATCGCCTCTACTGCTCTATAAACTAAACACAGCCGGCCAGGATAGCTTGAATTTTTGACCATTAAGACACAGTTGGAATCACATAGTGGATTCCTTGCTTGTTAGAACATCCGGGCATACTGCAGTGTTGAGACTCCACACAGGCAGTCAGCTGGCTTCCTCCAGCTTTGTATGATGTCTATTATTCACAGGCTGGCAGAAAGGCTGTTTCAACGAGCTGTGCCGTGTTTAGGGATCACAAGCAATCGAGAAGGCAGACATGACCAACCACAGGAGGAGCTAGAGGCTTGTTGCTGGAGTGAGTTTTCATTCTGGAACTGAACAGGAGCATGGGTTAGGGGTGGAGCTGTGCTTCATGCTTTGACCCTCTATCTTAGCCAGTCACAGGCTGAGTTCATTTAACAGATAATCAAGCTTTTTTTTTCCTGGAAAGGTTGTAACTAAATTCATCTTGGTGAGTTGAGTGTCTTTTGGCTTTGACAGGGTGATTTTTCTTAATGGCAGACAATGATTAGTTGTACTGGTATTTATTGCCAGCAGTCAAGCTGTGTGTGTGTGTGTGTGTGTGCACACATAACTGCATGTACATACACACAGAGAATAACCTGTTTTCTTGTTACAGTTGTAAGGAAGGCTCAGGTACTGTAGAAGTGTCTGTCAGGCATCATGCTGTGCAACATTAGCACCATCATCCTGTAACTCAATATACAGTGTAAAAACTGAACTTATCCAAACACACACCTTTTTATTTTGTGTTGGAATGCTCTTGTGTCATTGACTTTTTCAGTACTGGGCTCTTGTAAGTCTGATTCAGTGAGTATTTGATAGCTTGAAAATATTTTCCTGTACTTCACACTATTTTTAAACAGCTGAGTAAGACTGATCACATCCAGTTTTAGCATAAGGAATGGTTGTATTGAATTCTGAGCTTTTTTGAATTTGGCCATATAATGAGGTGACACCCTCCCAAAGTGCAACTCCCTGTGACTATAAATATCTATGGTGTTCATGTCCTGTCCCTGCTCTGCACGCAGCTGGCTTGTGTAACAGGGCATCATTTCCTGTCTCCAGTTAAAGGGACTTTGTTGTAAGCCTCCACTGATTACCAGTGGACCATACTGTCAAAATGCCAGCCACCTCAGACAAGCTTATAACACAGAACTGGCAAGATGGCAAGCTAACATGCTGCTAGGGAACGATCCTGGGCAAAATCCAACAGCAACCAAAGCAAAACTGAGGATTGAGTTCAGTGATTGGAAAAAAGATTATTAGTTTCATTTGGATTCTCATATCTGCACGTGTGGTAGTACTGTGAATGCTGGTCTGTTGGTCTTTATCTCCTAAGGCTATGCTCACATAGGTAGTGCTACAGAAAATACTTGTCCTTTGCAGCAGATAATAAAGCCATAGCAAACTATAATACAGAAGTGAGAGTTCCCAGTACAGAAACCCAGGGAAATTTGAAGGTTTGCTTTTTGTATATAGTTTACACACAAGTGTCAACTTGTCATAGTATTTAGCTGATGACTGCAAGTGATTTTTTTTTCCTTCATATTTATTTGTGCTTATGCAAACATCCTTTCTACTTTACATGCAACTCTGTTGGCCCTCTGTCTGTTTCCTTATGCACCACACAGGGCTGTATGCTATCTGAAGAAGGCCTGGTGTAGACTGGGGCCTATTTTGGTGCCCTTCACAGTTAAATATTGGTGAGCTCGCCCTAATATAACCCCTCTGTTTCTGCATCAGAGTGGGCCAGTGAGGCCCAGTGGTGAGATGTAGAATTGATTTTGGTAGGATCGATTCAGCACTGGCACTGCACAGCCACTCTGCATTTGGGCAGGGAGAAAAAGTTTTGCTGTGTGTTTGCTGCTAGTGTTTCCTGAAAGAGCTACTTTTATGTTTTTGATAACACCCAGATCAAACCTGAAAGGGTTTTATTGCAGAAGATGTGGCATCTGATAGGTTCTCCTAATTAGGGGAAGTTTTAGTTGCATCTGAATGTGTCTAATTAATCTCAAGGTTCTTCGGTTAGGCCTAGTTTTCCATAGGGCTTCCTCTCTGGGTTGGTTAAATATACCAGTTTGTATTTTATGTCCCTGTTTAGATCAATATATCGCCTTTGTGTGTGTGTTTGACATGAGAGGGAATGGCAGAGAGTACTTTGTGTACAGAATAAATATTGATACACACCAAGCAAGAGTCCAATTGATCTGTGTGAGTGTAATGGGAGTAGTGCTGCTCTCCATGCTGTGTTTGACTGCACTCTGGGTGAGGATACAACTTTCTGTACTTGGTCCCCATAAAGTGACAGTTACAGGAAAGACTGAAGACAACAAAGACACTTGAGTGGTATCTGTGGTGCTCTCAGAGGGGAAGGATAGGTCAGGAGTTGGTGGCTGTGAGAAAGAGGCCAAGGAAGAAGAACAGGGCTCATGTGTGACAGGAAGAGCTCCAGAAAGCATGCAGGGAAGAGGGAGTCTTCTTCACGCTCAAGTGAATCGGGCTCGCGCTCGGCAGATGTTGTAGCACCAGAGATACCCATAGTCATCCCAGATGGTAAGGAATTTGGGGTTAGAGGAAAATCAGGGTGCTGAACTTTAATTGTATCACCTGAAACTCCCATGGGTAGTGATGGCAGCCAAGTCTTCTAAATCTAACAGAGAGAGAGAGACTGAATGAAGCTCAAGAGATTCCCTTAAAGACAGCTGCTGATTTGGCCATTAAGCTTTGTAGGAGCACCAAAGCCTTTCCTCTCTGCAGCTCCAAGAGAGAATAGCCTCATTTGTGACTTGTTCTGTTTGGAAGCGGGAGTTGAGCAACTTTCATGGGAAATGTTTTCTCCCTGGTGACCAGTCTGTTTCCATAGCTCTCTGTGGGAGCAACAGTGTGCTTGACATGTTTATACGAACTTTGGTCTTTGCAGTTCTTGCTGGCTCTCTCCCCTCCTATTGTTGGAGCTGATGGTCTTTAGAGAATTTGCAGGAAATCACAGATGAGGATTAAGTTGTCATTTAGTTCTGAGTGTGTTTTGTGTGTAAGAAATGCACAAATGTTCTCATGAGAAATGTAGCTCGTTGCTACTTGTAACATCTTCATCATATTCTTCTTAGTCTTCTGATTTGAATGTATCACTCCAAAAGGCCATTACTTTGAATATGTCACAAAGCAGATGAATAAATGACTCTAGATTTTAACTATTGATAGTTTTATTTAATTTGTGCCCTAGGCTGTTGTGTTGCATCGATCACACATTCCACATTATTATGAAAGGCTTAATGTAGTTCGTGGCTCTACTATTTTTCAGTGCATCATAAACTAGTGTAAATACTATTTTGTTATGTGGTTACCCATTATTTATCATTATTATTTGAACTCACACTTGTGAAATCTTGCATACAAAGTGTAAAGCATATAATTTGTTTCATTCTCTTGCTTGATATTCTCTGTAATAATTAAGCAACACAATGCATTTAAATTATTGTCTTTCTCATGTAAGTAGTTGTAGATTTACAGCCTAGACCATCTTGTGTTTCAGGCTAACAGCAGAAAAAGCAGTGGTCAGCTGCACAGACAGGAGGAATGAGGAAGAACTGATTATCTTCATGTTCCCACAGAGCACTGTGATTAGCCTCATAAAGATAAGGCCAAGAAAAATGAACTTCTGCTTATAACACTATGCCATATGTCTGTTGTTCTATAAATAGCATGCCAAGTCTTAAATTGTGTCCACAAAGACCAGGTGTAGGTTTCTTCTCAAGGAATTTGGCCTCATGTTAAACTGCACTCTAGGCACAGATCTGTTTATTGTTTCACAGTTGTGCATTTAGAAGTGAACACCTCTGATTTTGAAGGTCACTTTCTGTTGTGTAACCCCAAAGGCCTTAATGTGTTGATCTTCAAGGCAGACTCAAAATGTAGTTTTTCTAATTTTAATCACCTTGACATTTATCAGAAATAGCCTACTCAGTGTCCAAGTCCAGCGTTTTCTATAATGCACAAGCATGGTTTTTGTGGAACTGTGGTTGCTGTCAGCAGGTGTACTCCTAATGTACCATCAGAGCATAGCAATGCCCACATCCTTCCACAGAGTATAGATAGGATTAACGTTGCCCATGTAGCTCTGGCTTTAAACATGTATGTTTGAGTTGGTGCTTTGCTTGTGAATGAGGGTCTCCCACATGACTTCTGGCAAGCGCTTGCTGAGAAATCACGGAAGTGGCGTTCTCTTTGCCAGTTGCCACTTTCCCATGAACCTGTCACTTGTGAAGCTACCAGCTAACTATCGTTGTACACAGTGTCTCCCATCTTGGCCATGTAGTCTCTTTAGACTATGTTTTTGAGGCAGCCTGCACAGGATAGATTTACAGCTGTGTCATGTGATAGATTTTTATTTTATTTTTTTTTTTAAATTGACCATACTGTACTGAGAGATACTGAGTGCTTTATACTATTTCCCTCCCACTCCTTGTCCCTATGGCTTTATTCATTGTTGGACTTTGCAGTTGCAGGTGTTGGCCTGTGTAACCTTGAGTTACACAGCACACCTTGACTTTTATTCTGGTGATCTCTGTTCATCTTTATTTTGTGGCTATAATGGGATAAATTAGGCGAGTTATAGTAAAGGGTGTAAATAGCTGAATATTTTTTTGGACTTATCATAATAAATTTGATTTATTTATTTTACTGGTGCATCAGTAACTTGAGCACTGTATTATTATACACTTAGCATTAATTGAATTCACAAATGTATCTGGTTTTATAGTGTTCACTTTTGTGGTGGGGATAGAAGAGGGTGTTTGGGTCCCAACATCAAAGAAACACCAGGCTGAGGAACCAGCTCATCACATGGACATTAATTATGTTGATGTACACACAGGCACATAAACTGCGTCATGCTCAGTTGTTAAGGCCCTCATATTATACTGTAAAACACCAATGCTGAGGTCTTGTTGACCTATTATACAAAACCCTTCTAAGTCTGGACTTTGTGCTTTTTAAAACAGATGAACTCTCTCTGAAGAATGCACACTTTGTTTTTAATTACAGTGAAGGAGTTTCTTGCCAAAGCCAAAGAAGATTTCTTGAAGAAATGGGAGAATCCTTCACAGGTGAGAGAGAAAAGAAAATGACTTCCATTAATGTTATTTATTTGCTGTCAGTGCTAATATATTTTAGTTTTCTGTGTTGAAACAATTTAACTTGATTTTATTTTATGATACATCTTTTTCTTTGACTTGACTTTAATTTTCACATGCTTGTTCACTGTCTGACACCCTCATGGAAATAGCCCTGCCCATAAACAAATTAGTTCCCATTTCTTTTAGAGCTGCAGTGCGCCCTCTGCTGGTCTGAGATATATATTTATTCTTCTTTAGTAAACAGTACATTTTAGCCAAGTATCATTTGAGAAAATAGTTAAACTAAGGCTTGTCAAAGTATGTTGGACATTGTAACATTTTGTCTACCCTTTCCTCTTACTGGCATGGTCTTGTACCCTCAGCAAACTGCGGCACTGGATCACTTTGAGCGTTTGAAGACCTTGGGCACTGGTTCATTTGGTCGAGTCATGCTGGTTAAACACAAAGAGACAGGCCAGCATTTTGCCATGAAAATACTTGACAAACAGAAGGTACAGTATTTAAAGAATGATATTAAAGTGGAATGCTACTTGTTAAATAAATAATCATAATGTCTCTTATTGACAAATTGTATGGACAGTCTCAATGTGATTTACGTATACTGAAAATGTACAGAGAGCCAAGAATATTCAATAGCCTGAAGTTCACTACAGTGTGTAGAGTTGAATTTTTTGCCTGTGTATACTTGTTTTTAACCTTCAGAGCTTACAAATTGTCGGTACTACTGTAATGTGACAGTTATCCTAAATTTAAGATACCTCACTGGCTAGTACAGTAGGTCCATGAAACCAATGCTGTCTAAAAAAGCCTTTGTCCTGATCTCTTCCAGGTAGTGAAGCTGAAGCAGATAGAGCACACACTGAATGAGAAACGTATCCTGCAAGCCGTCAGTTTCCCCTTTCTGGTGCGACTGGAGCATTCTTTTAAGGTATGTACTAATATATTCACCTGTTTATCCTCTAAGGATGTTAACCTCCTGGATGTATGTGTGTTTTTACATGTCAAAGTAAGACTTGGCTGATCTCTGTACAGGACAACAGTAATCTGTATATGGTCATGGAGTATGTACCTGGGGGTGAAATGTTCTCACACTTAAGGAGAATTGGTAGATTCAGGTAAATCAGTTTTTAGTTAATGCAGCCATTATACTTTGCCGCACTCTACTGGTTAACTGTAAATTCTGTGGCTGATGTATTTTGCAGTGAACCACATGCTCGCTTCTATGCAGCCCAGATTGTATTGACCTTTGAATACCTTCACTCGCTGGATCTCATCTACCGAGACCTGAAGCCAGAGAATCTGCTCATTGACCAGCAAGGTTACATCCAGGTAAAGATTGCATGTTTATTTTCTCAGCCATCAGCAGCAGTTATAGTTTGATTGGTCTCTGTGCTCTTGCAACATGTGGTCAGTTTTCAGAGCTGTACCCTCTCTTCCTCAGGTAACAGATTTTGGATTTGCGAAAAGGGTGAAGGGCCGAACCTGGACACTTTGCGGGACCCCAGAGTACCTGGCACCAGAGATCATCCTCAGTAAGGTAAGTGCTCAGCTAAATCCAAGACCCATAGCACCGCAGAAGAGTTCTCAAATCTACATGGGACTTCTGAAACTACCAACTATTGTACTGTGGTGCAATCTGCTGCTTACTGTTTGATCAACATTATGATGCGTATGTTTTTGTTTGGAAACATATTTGACCGTCTCTTTATTTCTTTTCCCAGGGTTACAATAAAGCAGTGGACTGGTGGGCTCTGGGAGTGCTGATATACGAGATGGCTGCTGGTTACCCCCCATTCTTTGCAGATCAGCCTATTCAGATTTATGAGAAGATTGTATCAGGGAAGGTGAGTTTAGAGAAGATGACCTAAATAATCATCTTTTGGCTTTGTAAGTAGTTTGGTTACCCCAGCACAGTGTAGTGCACAGTTGCGCTCAGCTCGACAACTGACTTGTGATTGTTTGCTAGCTATAGTTGGCAAACTCTTTGACTTCAAAATGCATAATTCATACCAGCAGTATTTTCCTTAAATGTGAGCATGTTTTATTAGTGATTCCATTGACATAGTATGTTACTCCTTAAACATATGAAAGCAATTATGATGGCTGTGTGAACATTTGCAGCTGAATTGTAAAGAGTAAAAGTTGAGGATACATGTCCAACAAGGAAAGTGTTGTGTCCTGTAGTAAATAGATTCTTCCTAAGAAACCACTGACTTTTGTTGTAAATTAAATTCTCAAATGTCTTGGACCTTGAAATCATTTCATTTATAGACTCGTAAGGTGGCTGATTGACTGAACATAATTTGCTTTTGTTTTCTTGGCATGACAAGTATAGGGGAAAAACAGATTTGTTTCCATTAACTCATTAGTTCCTCTGCTCCTTGCACTGAAATAGCTGAAATACAGTTCATCCATGCCTCATACATTAGTTATGCCACTGTGGGGCTGGACAAGAGGCAGAGTACTACCTGGACAGGTCACCAGTCTACCACGGGGTTGAAATACAGTCTTCTTAGTGAAATGATATGTGCAGAGTAGTGTTGTCACGATACCAACATTTTGGTACCGGTACCGGTACCAAAATGTATTTCGATACTTTCGATACTTTCGATACTTTTGGATAGTTTTTCAGACAAAAAGAGAAGGCAAAAAATGTCATTACTGACTTTATTTTAATAGAAAATCTTAGAATAACATCAAAATAAAATTCAAAATACTAGGCTTTTCTTATTGCACTCAAAAAAAATTTTTTTTTAGAACAGTCAGTGTGAGTAAATAAAAAGTATGAAGTTAGAAATCTGGTTATTTGTATGGTATTTGAATAGAGATAACATGATTTGTAGCATGTATCCTGGTGATCTCACAGCACATCAGGATATAGTCAGAGATTTGGCAGGTTATTGGGCATCTACACCAATGTCATACATATTGTACATTTCCACAAGTCTTTGATTTGATTTATTCTTTTCTTTCAAGCATGTAAAGACAGTTGATACGTCAACACACATAATTTTACACATATCCAACAAATGCTAATCCAATATCAATGTGCTTATACCTAGTACATGCTTGAATGGAGTAGGAAGAAGTCAGACTTATCCAGTCCTACCCCATGACATCATCTTACCATCATTGGTTTGCAAACAGTATCTCTACATAGATAATTATCTTCTACACCACACAAGTAATATAC